AAAGAGTGACTGGCCCAAAGTCACCCAGTTAACTTTACTATATAAGGCAGGACTAGAATTCACAGTCTCCTGGTGATTGGCCCAAAGTCACCCAGTCATCTTATATGCCTAAGGCGGGACTAGAGCTCCCAGTCTCCTGGTGACTGGCCCAAAGACACCCAGCTAGCCTTCATGCCTAAGATGGGACTAGAACTCTCCGTCTCCTGGTTTCTACCCTAGCTAGATAGGTCTGAGCCAGTCCCTCTATCTCAACCGTAGGAGGAAAGCAATAGCAAACCACTCCCAAAAATCTTGCCAAGAAAACCATATGGATTTGCCTGTCTCGTTTCCAGGAGTCGAGACCAATTCTGTGACACACATGTGCACCAAGAGCAGTGGTGGTATTCTACCGGTTCTGCCGAGCTGGTAGTGCCGATGAGCAGCGGAGACCAAACCGGATCTCTCCACTGTTCTGCTGTAGGGTCCATCCGCCCGCCCAGGCTCCCATATTCACCTCCATCTTCTGCTTTTGAAGCAGAGCCACTTTGCGTGGGCACAGAAGAGCTGCTGACGTGACAGAGAGAGTGCAGGCTGGCAGGAGGTAAGTTGGAACACCTCTGTGCCTGTGTGCAGTGTGTGTTTGGCATGGGCCCACCAAGCCACGCCCACCAAACCAAAATCTTTGAATCCCACCACTGACCCAGAAGTGTCTAAGATGGTGTCTCGCTGATGGGAAGGATCTTTAATTCCTCATATTTTAAATGCACCTCAAGCGAAGCCCTCGTACAGGAATTTCGCTGAGGAGATTTTGCAGATTAGGAGTGTTGGCAGCCATGGAATAATCTGAGGGACACAGAGAGACATATCAGAGGAAAACGCTACACAGAGGTGGTATTCAGCCGGTTTGGACCAGTTCTGGCGTACTGGTAGCAGAAATTTTGAGTAGTTCAGAGAACCGGCAAATATCACCTCTGGCTGGCCCCACCCATCCGCACCCGCCCTTTCCAATCCTATATTCTCTTGTTTTTTTAGGTCAGCTGGACTAGATGACCTACAAGGTCCCTTCCAACTCTGATTATCTGTTATCCTATAGTAACCATCATAGCATACAGACTTTGCTGGTGATCATTCCTCCTGCATTTGTTTGACTTTTGTTTCCTTCTGCGTTCCGAAATAAAGTTATTACAACCCCCCGCAAATTAGTTTTCTTTTTAAGAAAAAAAAAAAAAAGCAACAACCCCCAAAACTCTCTCGGCCCCATTATCACTCGGCAAAACTGACGTCTCACTTAGAAATCTTCCACCCCCACCCAACCACCCAAAAAAAAAAGAAAGAAAGAAAAATCCCAGAGAGAGGGGGAAAAAAGAGATTCCTCCAAAGAAAGCAGACGAGCCTCTGGCTTCCTTCCTCAGATTTCAAGAATTGTGCTCGGATCTTCTTCTTCGCAGCCTCCCACTCAACCATGCAGCGATCCAAGGTCAGTGGCCAATTCTTGTTCGGGATGGAAAGGTTTTGAAATTCGCTTTGCCATGTGGCCTCCTGGGTTCTGGAGGTTTAGGGTGGATGGGTTTTTTTTTTTTTTCAGGATGCTTTGTCGATTTTGCTGTGATAGGATTTGATTTGGGAACCGTTTGGGGTTGCTGGCTTTATCGCTGGAGGAGTGAAAGGATGGAGCTGTGCAGCAGGAAAATTCTTGGTGTGAAATGAAACATATTCTTGGCTTGAAATGAGGCTACAAAGGTGGTGATTTAAACGTGCCTAATCTTATCGGGCTTCTGCAACCACAAACTCTTAAAAAGAGTTTTTTAAATTTTTAAATTTTTTATTGTTTTAATAGTTTCGACTGTTTTTATTGTTTTAAAATGTTTTCAGGGTTTTATTCCCCCCTCCCGATAATTTTTATTGTTTTTTTTCCCCACTTTTTACACATCTTAACCTTAATATTAACAGTACTGTGTCTCATATAAATGTCTACATTCATATACATTCATATATGTTTATCTATAATTTTCTTATCTCCAATATCCTTATGTCTATTGTTCAACCATTTATACCAATTGTCCCAAATTTTGTAATACTCTGACTGTTCTTTATCTTTTAATTGTAACGTCAGTTTATCCATTTCAGCACAATGTAAAAATTTTTTTTTGAATTCCTCTGGGGGTGTATTATTTTGTTTCCAACATTGTGCGAATGCTATCCTTATTGCTATCAATATATGTAGTAAATATATATGTAATCTTTTTCCTATGTTTCCTTTTAATTATTCCCAACAAGAACAATTCTGGTTTAAACTTTATCCGATCTTCCACTATTTCTTGTATCCAACTCCATATTTTAGTCCAGTATTTTTGGGCTTCTGGGCATGACCACCACATATGATAGAAGGTATATTGGTTCTGTTTGCATTTCCAGCATTTCGGATTCAGGATTTTAATTGTAATATATATGCTTGATCTGTGAATCCTCCGGTGTGTTGAGATGGGTGGCTATAGAAATTAACTAACTAACTAACTAACTAATTAACCAACTAACCAACCAACCAACCAACCAAATAAATAATAAATAAACAAACTTTTATGCATGGAGTTTGTGCAAGTCCTTGTTTTATTGATCCTAGTGAAGCAGCAAACAGGTTTCAAATTCTTTAAAGCAGGGGTCCCCAACCACCGGTCCACGGACCGGTACCGGTCCGTGGAACAAGTCCTACTGGGCCGCTGGCTTGCTGGGTGCCGCCATCTTGTTTTGATGAAAAAGTGCTTCCGGTGAGCTTTTCCGGGTAGAAAGCTCACCGGAAGCACTTTTTCATCAAAACAAGATGGCGGCGCCCAGCTGATGATGTCGGTACCGGGCCGCGCCATAAAAAAGGTTGGGGATACTGGGCCGCGGCGTAAAAAAGGTTGGGGATCACTGCTTTAAAGTACAAGTAGTCCTTGACTTACAACAGTTCATTTAATGACCATTCAATGTTACAACAGCATTGAAAAAATGACATGACCATTTTTCACTCTTACGAGCATTTATAGCATCCCTTTGTCACATGATCAAAATTCGGACGCTTGGCAACTGACTCATATTTATGACGGTTGCAGTGTCCTGGAGTTATTTGATCCCTTTTTGCGACCTTCTGACAAGCAAGTCAATGGTCATGCTATGCGAATTCAGACATTGGGCAACTGACTCATATTTATGACGGTTACAGGGTGCTCGGTCCTGTAATCGCCTTTTGCAACTTTCTGACAAGCAAAATCAGTGCAGAAGCCAGATTCACTTAACAACTGGGTTACTAACTTAACAACTGGTGTGATTCTCTTAACAAATGTTAAAGTCGTAAAATGGGACAAAACTCATTTAACAGCTGTCTTGCTTAGCAGCAATGATGGCCTCAATGATGGTCACGAGCTGAGAACTACCTGCATTGTGGTTCTTCATTCGTTCAAGTGTTTCTAGCTCTTTATGATCTGATGGAGGTTTGTTTGCCAGAGTTGTCCGTCGGTCATTGTTGCTTTTATTAAAATATTCTGAAAGTTGCTTTGGATGACTCTGAATTTTGAGGTGGAAACTGCCAATCTCATTGTATACATGTTGTACTCTGACAATAAAGGTAATAATAATAAAGAGGACAGAAAGATTCCCGTCTTTATTTAGACTTTAACCTTAGACTGTCTACTATTGACCTCACCCCTTTCCTAAGAGGTCTGTAGGGGGCGTGCATAAGCGCACCAACGTGCCTACTGTCCCCGTCCTATTGTTTCTTTTTATTTTTCTTATATGTACCCATTTCATGTATTCATAACTATGTATATACTTATACCTATTATCTCATAAGCGATTGACAAATCAAAATAAATAAAATAAATAAAAGTATTCATGGCCATCTTTCTTAAAAGGTACTGCTACCCGTGAATGTGATTTAACTGAATTCATCACGGGATTGTTTCTTTGCAAACCTGCTCCCCAACTTGACACCTTCCACAGAGGTGAGCCATTTGTCCCAAAGGAGCTTTTTTCAAGAGGCAACTGGACTTTCTGGTTTTTCTTTGAAGATGTTTCGCTTCTCATCCAAAAAGTTTCTTTAGCTCTCCAGGCTCCAACTTCTTCAACTCCAGAGCTGAAGAAACTTCTTGGATGAGAAGCAAAATGTCTTCAAAAAATAACCAGAAAGTCCAGTGGCCTCTTGAAAAAGCACCTTTGGGACAACCATGACCTGGATGACTGACAATCTCCATAGACATGTGAGCAATTTGAATTTCCTACCCTGAGCAACCTCTTGAGGAAGCTTGCTGAGATAGATCTAATTGTAGCATAGTTCAGGCGTGCATTGCCTTCTGGGTGCTGGCACGTGAGCGAGCACGCGCAATTTTTGGCACAGGAGCCCAAAAAGGTTAGCCACCACTGATCTAGCCTATCAAAGAGAAGGATAAGGGGAGATGTGATGGCTTCTTCCAGTATTTGAGGGGCTGCCACAGAGAAGAGGAGGTCAAACTATTCTCCAAAGCACCTGAGGACAAGAAGTAATGGATGGAAAGGTATCAAACAGAGACCCAACCTAGAACTAAGGAGAAATTTTTTGACAGAACAATCAACTAGTGGAATGGTTTATCTCTGGATGTTGTAGGTTCTCCATCACTGGAGGTCTTCAAGAAGAAATTGGACAGCCAATTGTCCGGAATGGTATAAGATCTTCTGCCTTGAGCTGGGGGTTGGACTAGAAGACCTTTGAGGTTCCTTCCGTTTTATGTTCTATGTTCTCCCTCTAGATATATAGCGGGAGACAAATCCAGCCAGGTTCAGATTCCATGACATTTGAGAGGGATCTAATTAAATTTGAGATTGCTGATAAAGCAAATATTAGCTGTCTATTTGGTGAAACTAAATTGCAACCGATATTTATTAATTTTTTCTGACAGTCCTGGGGCAACGATGTAAGGAGTGAAGAAAGGTGAAAACTGTGCTTGAGGGGCAACGTTTTTCTACACAACTATTTCAAAACTTTTGATAATCCCAGCCCAGACCTCCCTGCCATTCACGCCCCATCACACATGGCAGATCCTGCTCAGGCTGGATCAAGACGTCTGCAGAATCTCCTTTGAGAATCGGCAGTTTGCTCTGATCTCCAACTTCTGTATCCATTGCAGGCCCAGATGAAAAATTTACTCTCGGTTTGAACTGGCGGCCTCCCCCTTTCTTGAAAGCACACGAGGGAAAGGGTTTTCTAGCTCCTAGAAAATCAGCCCAAGTCACCTGACAGGATTGTTGTTGTGGGGAAAATAGGAAGAGGAAGGGAAGAAAGAATGAAGAAGGGAAGGAGATGGGAGATGGGAGAAGCAAGGATGGAGGAAAGGAAGGAAGATGGAAAGAAGGAAGGAAGTAAGGAGGGAAGAGAGGAAGGAAGGAAGGAAGGAAGGAAGAGAGGAAGGGAGAGAAGGAAGGAAGGAAGGAGGGAAGAGAGGAAGGGAGAGAGGAAGGGAGAGAAGGAAGGAAGGAAGGCGGGAAGAGAGGAAGGAAGGAAGGAAGGAAGAGAGGAAGGGAGAGAAGGAAGGAAGGAAGGGGAAAAGAAGGAAGGAAGCAAGGGGGAAAGAAAGAAGGAAGGATGATATTGAGGGAGGGAGGAAGGCTGGTGTGTTGGCTGCCTTGAGTTTATAAAAAACAATAACCGCAAGATATAAATAAATTAAAATAAATACATAAAAAACAAAAGCTTGCTGGTTGAGTTTGGGCCAATCACCAGGAGACAGAGAGTTTTAGTTCCGCCTTAGGCAGGAAAGCCAGCTGGGTGATTTTTGGTCAGTCATTCATTCTCAGCCCAGCCTACCTCACAAGGTTGTTGTGGGGGAAAACCGGAGAAAGAAGGTGTGTTGCATATGTTCACCTCCTTGAGTTATTTGTAAAATAATAAAGGCAGGATGCAAACAAACAAATATAATTTTTTGTGTTTATAACTTCTCTTCTATTGGAAAGATAGTTGCAAGATGGTGATGGGCTGGACCAGCACGATTGAGGGCTACCTCTTTGTGTGTATACCTGCAAGGGGGCAGGGCCTTGTATCAGGGATGGGATTCAATTTTTTTAAACAACCAGTTCTGTGGACGTGGCTAAGTGGGCATGGCCATGTGACTGGGTGGGCACAGTTTTTTTGCAGCAAACACCCCCCCCCCCCAGGGTGCGATTAAAAATTTTTAACAACCGGTTCTGTGGGCATGGCTTAGGTGGTGGGCGTGGCTTGGTAGTCATGTTATCGGCTGGGTGTGGCCAACTCAATATCACTCACATCGAGGCACGCATCTCCTCGCCTGGCCTCTCATGACTGTGGGGATGCTGCAACGGTTGTAAGTGTGAAAAATGGTCATAAGTCACTTTTTTCAGTGCCATTGTAACTTTGAATGGTCACTCCACACAAGCAAAGTACCAGCAAAGGAGGGGAAAAAAAACTCCAGAGAAGTTCCTGAGACAGGAAGTCCAGTCCTGCCAAGAATGTAATAAGGGTTAACGGAGAGGCAGTTTCTGTAAGCAACACCAGAATGTTTCCTTCCTGCCTTCCTTACAGGACTAGGCCAGTAATTTCTTCTGACAACCGGTTCTCCGAACTGCTTAGAATGTTAACAACCGGTTCTAGCGAACAGGTGTGAACTGGTAGAATCCCATCCCTGGCCCCCCATTTTTGAGCCTCCTGGGCCTCAGAGAAGCCTCCTGGGGGGTGTTTTTGCTCCCAGAAGGCTTCCCTGGGGCCCAGGAAGGGAAAAAATGGAGCGTGGGGGGCACAGCGCCCTCCCTCATCTCCCATGCACCCCTTTTTGCCTCCTGGGCCTCAGGAAAGCCTCCTGGGTGAAGCAGTAAGGCAGCGAGGGGGATCCCAGCACAGCTGATCATCGGAACAGCTGATCATCGGGGGGGGGAAGAAATACCTTAAGGAATGACTGGGTGGGGGAGAATGCAGTGAGCGATGTCACGCATGCACAATAAGGACTGATTGGGTGGGGAGGGGAGGGGTGGGCAGAGAGGGGCATGGCCAGCCAGAGGCACGATTTGCCAGTTCTCTGAACTCCACAGAATCGTAACAACCGGTTCTATAGAACCGGTCCAAACCGGTAGAATCCCACCCCTGCTGTGTATCACATAAAAAGGCACATGAAAATACTCCTGTCTAAGAGAGATGGGCAGTTAAAGATGTCAGAAGCATAATTTAGGGTTCCAACTCATGTTGCGCTTGCACAAGAACAAATAAAAATGAAATCCAAAGGAAAGGAGATTTATTTATCCAAAAAGTTCTTGACAGACTTAAACAATGGGCCCTATCCAGCAAAATGAAATTTAATGTGGAGAAAAGCAAGGTTTTACACCTGGGCAGGAAAAACCAAAGGTATGTTGGAAGAAATGTCCACCTGGGTTCAGTTCCAAGTGGGGAAGAAAGACACTGGAAACATGGTGACTGCTTGGAAAGATGGTTTAATGGTGGACAGGATCACATGCCTTGGGTGAAGAAAAAGGGAAGAGATGCTGAGAGTCCCTGGGTTTTATGCCCTCTATTGGGATTTGAATTTGAGCTTCTGTTCTGATTGGTTGTCACGTTCCTATGGAGTCATGCAGAGGTAACTTTGTAGGTTGTTTTTTGAGTTCCGAGCTTGGTTGAGCCTTCCCAGGTGCCATGTGGTGAGTTATATTGCTAGATGGGTAGAGGGCTAATCCTACTTTTGTTGGATCTTGGGTGAGGGCATTTGCCTATGAATAGGCATAGCTATCTCTTTATCTCTTAAGTGCTGGCATCTGCTGTGGACTATTGAGGAGGGTAAGGCTATTAAGAGTTGAGTCTGCTTCCTGCCTTAAAAACATGTTTCTCCATTTCTCATCCAGGGAAATATAATATTCTGCATTTTTAATATTTCCTAGAATATTTCATTCTTGTTGTAATGACGAGGCAGTCGAGGTGTTTGATCATGATCAACTGAATCATGATGATGAACTTTATTGGAGTCTAGTCTTGCATTTATACACATTTTCAGTAATCCTCCAACATTGGTTAACTTTGGTTTCTGCTTAACTTTCGTTACTGTTCAGCATAGTAACTAACACAATTAATTATCTCTAGTCAAAGTCCAACATATGTTTACTTCCTCTCTCTAATCCTCCTTTACATTAGTGACTTTGTTTGCCTGAGTTGTATTTGCTTGTAAACATTCCTTATCTGAGGTTTGCCATCCAAGATGAGAATATTCCTGCAATTACAACTCTACACATTCTTGTAGGAAAGGGGTGGGTGCTAACTTCCTACAAGTACAGATTCAGTGAAATCTGGCTCAAAAACAGTAACTGTGAGAGCGACCTTGGTATCCTTGTGGGCAATCACTTAAACATGAGCCAGCAGTGTACGGCAGCAACCAAAATAGCTAATACAATCCTTGGTTTTATAAACAGAGGAATAGAATCAAAATCACGTGAAATATTAGTACTGCTTTATAAAGCCTTGGTAAGGCCACACCTGGAATACTGCATCCAGTTTTGGTCACCACATTACAAAAAAGATGTAGAGACTTTGGAAAAAGTGCAGAGAAGAGCAACTAAGGTGATTAAAGGCCTGGGACTAAAACATACGAAGAATGGTTGCAGGAATTGGGCTTGGCTAGTTTAGAGAAAAGAAGAACTAAGGGTGACCTGATAGCAATATTCCAGTATTTGAGAATACTGCCACAAAGAGGAGTGGATTCAAGTTATTTTCCAAAGCACCAGAAGGCAGGACAAGAAACAATGGATGGAAACTAATCAAGAAAATTAGTGATGTATAAGAAAAGGGGAAAAATGTTGAAATAAGAACTATTATGGAAAGATTAATAACAGTTGCTATAATTAATTAGTTAAATTAATACATATGTAATGTATAGATGATTTAAAAGGTGATTTAGAAAATGGAATGCGGAATCTGACAAAAATGTATATATATTTGTGTTATATAGTAAATAGGGAGACTAGTATTAAGGTAGAACGAAGGTGGCTAGCTCGAATTATTAACCAGAGGGGACAATTTTGAATTAATAAAATAAGGATGAGGAAATTGCAAATGTGACAGAAAAAGGTAACATGGGAAATGAATGTAGAAATGAGATGAGAATTTTAGATGATATTGTAAAATAAGATATGAGAATATCCTAAGGAAAATGAAATAAGTTATAACATGAATTGGAATTGGATAAGATAAGTTTAATATTTAATACCAATAAGGATAATGTGATATGAAATTGAAACTAATCAAGAAAAGAAGCAACCTGGAATTAAGGAGAAACTTCATCAATAGATGTGTTTAAGAAGAGACTGGACAGTCACTGGCCTGGAACAGTATAGAGTTTCCTGCTTGATCAGGGGGCTGGACTAGAAGACCTCCAAGATCCCTTCTATAACTCTATTCTGATTCTGATTTATTCCCCAAAGCAAAGAGCTTTGTCTATGCGGGCAGCTATGGAGAAAACAAGGGACACATAATTTGTTTTATAGCCTTAATTATGCTGACCCTCTTCCTTCCCTTGACCTCCGTACCCCAGGAGGCAAAATGAGGGAAGTTGCTCTTATTAAATGCTTATGGATGGTCATTTTCTATTTATGCAGGTTGTCCTCCTGGGCCGGAGTTATTTCTGGATTTCTTGCCTTGTGCTTGCAGGTTTCATCACTTTACAGGTGTGCGGACAAGGTAAGGAGCTATGCTGTCTTCCCATCTGGAAGTCGAATGTTGGAACAATGATAAAGTGATGTTTGTCCAGAAGTGGGTTTGGATGGTCTCTCTGGGTCTCATTTTGAGTATGTGTTGTGTTAACTGTCATATGATATGTTAGTTTGAGAGTTGCTCAAGGGGCAGCAAATAAGGGTAGGAGAAGGTGTGGCACACAGCCCTTGTAAAGGTTAATTTATGGTGATTTAGGTTTATTAAAGGCTCAGCAATGGCAGAAGTTTTTGAACCAGCGTGCTCTTCGCTGAAAACAGTGGATCCAAGATTATTTAAAAAAAAAAAAACATTATTTGCCCCCTCGTCCATTTTTATAATTTTGGGATTGTGAACTAATTTGTGGGATTTCCCCATCTTTTTTTTTTTGGCATGATGTATGTTGATGGGTTGTATGTGTATGGTTGCTTTTAATTAAATATCTGTGGGGAGGGGCAGGGAAACTGGTGGGGAGAGGGAGGGGGCAGCAAATGATCATTGGAACACCAGTCCTTGTCCCATTATAGAAGCCTGACTTTGAGGGGGGAGGGGAAATCCTAATCATTCTCACCATTGTTTTGCCTGACTATTTGGCCCATTTCTTTATTTGGTTATGGATTTGAGAGAAAAGGGAGCAGGCCGTGATTTGTCTCTGTAGTCAACTCTCTACTTGGGTGCATTTCTCCTGCTTACATTAGTGGTTTTCTCTACTATAAGGCTGTGTTGCTTTGTCTGTCTGCCTGCCTGCCTGCCTGCCTAGCCATCCATCCATCCATCCATCCATCCATCCATCCATCCATCCATCCATCCATCCATCCATCTCTATGTATCTCTCTATGTCTGTCTGTCTGTCTGTCTGTCTGTCTGTCCGTCTATCCATCCATCCATCCATCCATCCATCCATCCATCCATCCATCCATCCATCCATCCATCCATCTCTATGTATTTCTGTCTGTCTGTCTGTCTGTCTGTCTGTCCATCCATCCATCCATCCATCCATCCATCCATCCATCCATCCATCCATCTCTATGTATCTCTCTATGTCTGTCTGTCTGTCTGTCTGTCTGTCTGTCTGTCTGTCTGTCTGTCTGTCTATCCATCCATCCATCCATCCATCCATCCATCCATCCATCCATCCATCCATCCATCTCTATGTATCTCTCTATGTCTGTCTGTCTGTCTGTCCATCCATCCATCCATCCATCTATCTATCTATCTATCTATCTATCTATCTATCTATCTATCTATCTATCTATCTATCTATCTACCTATCTATGCTCTTCATCTATCAACTATCTATCTTCACCTAGTTCCCTCAATCATTCATCGTATAGTTTAGCCGCTAAACCTCTTAACATTTTTGTTGCTCTTCTCTACACTCTTTCTAGGATCTTAACAAAGTTTTTCCACCCTGGTGACCAGAACTGGACACAGTATTCCAAGTGTGGCCCCACCAGTGCAGCATAAAGTGGTACTATCCTTTCACTTGAAAGTATACCTCTATTAACGCAACATAGGACTGCACTAGGTTTTTTGGCAGCTGCAACACACTGTTGGTTCATACTTAAGTGATGGTTTACTAGGAGATTCCAAGATCCCTCTTACAGTTGCTACCATTGAGCAGGTACCACCGAATGTGCTAGGTGTACCACCAGATACCACCTGGAACATTAACAAATTACAGAGAGGTTTTGCCGAGAAATCTTCCTCCTCCTCACATATAGTTCTGGATGTGTGGATTTATCTCTCTACTTTGGAAGAACATCCAAACCTCTAAATCCCACGTAAAATCTGATGTAGTGCAATGCAGACAAAGTGATGCCTACATCTTTGAAAGGGAAGAAGAAAAAGAAATTAATTTCCAACGTTCATTTCTCTGATTGGCCCATACTCTTTTCACCCCATCATACTTGTTGAGATGTTAGATGTTGAGACTCTAGAAAGAGTGCAGAGAAGAGCAAGCAAGATGATTAGGGAACTGGAGGCTAAAACATAAGATGAAAGGTTGCAGGAACTGTGAAGAGAAGGACCAGGGGAGGCATGATATCAGTCTTCCAATATCTGAGGGGCTGCCACAGAGAGGAGGAAGGGGTCAAGCTATTTTCCAAAGCACCCGAAGGCCAGACAAGGAATAATAGATGGAAACCAATCAAGGAGAGAGATTCAACTTAGAAATAAGAAGAGATTTTCTGACAGTGAGAACAATCAACCAATGGAACAGAAGTTGCCTTCAGAAGTTGTGGGAGTTTCATCACTGGAGGCTTTCAAGAAGAGACTGGACTGCCATCTGTCAGAAATGGTGTAGGATCTCCTGCTTGGGCAGGGGGGTGGACTAGATGACCTACAAGTCCCCTTCCAACTCCCTTAATCTGTAAGACTTCCTATTATTTGGATGTCTTCTCTTACCATCTCAAATCAATCACCAAACCAGGAAATGTTCCTACAATATGATGAAAACACCTACCAGAAATTGACTTTTCGATGGAATGAAGTCTATTTATCTTCCAGTGCTCAGATTAATGAAAACCTCAAATTTGGCATTCTGCTGCCTTTGGCATTCTTCTCAGTCTGTTGTGTGGCTCCTAGAGCAACCACCAAGATCTGGGATGTGGAAGAAGAGTTGAAAACAATTTCTAGCTTTATTAACTAAATAATTCCATCTTTGTCTCCCTGGTTTTGCTCCAGCAAAGAGACCCAATGAAAAATTCTGCCTGTTTGTATATGTCATCCTTCACAATTGAAGGCTCTCCCATTTCACTCTGCTCAGAGCTGCTTTCTGAATCTCAGCTTTGTTTTCCCATGCAACATAATTTCCTTCCAGGAAGCTAGAAGACTTATCTCCCAAAGGTTAAAGGTCACAGATGTGCAACGGAGTTGGTTACTGTGGTCCTTTGGAAGCCTTGTTGGACTCCGATGGTTGGGTCCCCTGATTGTGTTGCACAGATGACATTTCTGAGTTTTGGAGGCTGTGTTGTGGAGTTGTGGCTGGTCAGTGATGCCTGCGGTCAATGACTTGGGTCTTGCAAGTGGGCAGCGTATAAATAATCAAGAGGAAAGCAAGGACTGCAACAGAATAAAACAAAACAAAGTCCTTTCTCTTGCACTTTTTTCCTGCATTTCTTGCTTTCTCTTGGTTGAACTTTGGATTGAAGGTCCTCCAGATAGGACCAATACAGCAAGGGCGTTGATTGTTTGTAACCAGCTAGATATGTACAACCTATCAAAGAGAAGGATGAGGGAAGACATAATTGTCTTCCAGTACTTGAGGGGCTGCCACAGAGAAGGGGGGGGCAGGACGAAAAGTAATGGGTGGAAGCTTGTTAAACCTAGAACTTAGAAGTTCTTGGAGAAACCTAGAAGTAAGGAGGAATTTCCTGATAGTAAGATCAATTAACCAATGGAATAGCTTGCCTCCTAGAATTGTGAGTGCTCCATCACTGGAGATTTTCAAAAATAGACTAGACAACCATTGAACCGGGATGGTATAAGGTCTTCTGCTTTGAGTAGAGGGTTGAGTTAGAACCCCCCACCCATCCAAGGTCCCTTCCAGCCCAGCCCTATGATTCTACGAAGACTAGGAAATGTTGAATTTCAGCTTCTATAATCCTACAACTGGCATGATCCAAAAGACTCAAGAGTGATGATGGCCAGAATATCTGGAGAACTTTGGAATGTCAGTAAATGATCTACGTATATCATGGCACTATGCAAACAAAACCATTGGACATCAATTCTTTTTCATCTGGACCAGTGGTGAGATTCACCCTACTATCGGTTCTATGAGAGTGCACTTCTTGCTCGCACGCGCGCTTTGCGTGCATGTGCAGCATTTATAAACCACCGATTTAAACGTCAAAACTGATTGTCAACTAAAACATACTTCTTTGGTCTTTTTAGTTGCCAGCAGAAAGGGAGTGGGGGAAAGCAGTGCATTCCTTAAATGCTTGAGATAATAACCGCTGTGGCTCCCATCTTTTTTACTCTCAGAGTTGTGGCTAGAGACTTACGATTTGAATGGGGTGCATGTTGAAGCCCTGACACTGACCTTGTATTCAGCGCTGGTGAGTAAAACAGCGGAGGCATGGCAATCCGCTCTGGTGCGTGAATTAGTGAGCTCACAAACAAGGAAATAAAGCACAGGAAACGGCGGTGCCAACTGCTCATCGACACTACCGGTTTGTTAGAAACGGTGAGAACTGGCAGCATCCCAGCACTGATCTGGACTGGTTTCTTTTTCTTTCTCCAGCAAATTAGCATTTCTGGATATATGGTTCATAAAGTTAAAAGCCGTTTCCACTGACTCCAGGGTGCGCGTGTTTTTTCAATTAGTATAATCATTAATAATTAGTAAATAATAATAATAATAATAATAATAATAATAATAATAATAATAATAATAATAAATAATAATAATAATTATTACAAATAATAATTATTATAAATTATTAATAATAATATAATTAATAATAATTAGTATAATTAGTATAATCTGAATCTCTGAACTGTCTTGAGTTACCTCAGGAATTTTCCAAAGGGTATATACATAAATCTCCTTGCTCACTGAAACCAAGGAGAGAAACTGAATTAACTGGCTGGATTTTGCACAGTAAGCTTAAGTGACTCTATTCATACATCATTTTAAGCTTGGTTAATTCTAAACTAGGTTACTCTGCTTGGAACTGTTAAGACGTTGCTTTGAATCTCAAATCCCGTCCTTCAGAAAGTTCACTCTCTGACTTAATTAGCTGAAGAACCTTCTTCTGTTTTGAAAAATAATTTTCAGGTAATCCTTAATGTACGACCTTTCGTTTAGTAGCTGAAGTTTCAATGACATTGAAAAAAAGTGATTTAGGATCATTTTTCATGACCGTTGCATCCTCTCCATGGTCACATGTTCAAAATCTGCACACTTGGCAACTATCTTTATGTTAGTCGCGGTGTCACATGATTCCCCTTTTGTGACCTTCTGACAAGCAAATTCAAAGGGGAAGCCAGATTCATTTAACAGCCAGGTTACTAACTTAGTGTTAGTAACATGGCTGTTACTAAAGATGACACAACAGTGATTGGTTTCATTTGGGACAATGACAAATCTGCATACAGACGGGAGGTTGTACAATTTGCCTCGTGGTGTAACCGGAACAATCTGGAACTGAACACACTCAAAACCGTAGAAATGGTGGTAGGCTTTAGAAGAAACCCTTCCATCCTACCACCTCTTACAATACTAGACAACACAGTATCAACAGTAGAGACCTTCAAATTTCTAGGTTCTACTATATCACATGACCTAAAATGGACACCTAACATCAAAAACATCATCAAAAAAGCACAACAAAGAATGTTCTTTCTGCGCCAACTCAGAAAGCTCAAACTGCTCAAGGAGCTGCTGATCCAGTTCTACAGAGGAACTATTGAGTTTGTCATCTGCACCTCTATAACTGTCTGGTTTGGTTCTGCAACCCAACAGGACAGACACAGACTTCAGAGAGTAATTAGGACTGCAGAAAAAAACAATTACTACCAACCTGCCTTCCATCAAGGATGTGTATACTGCACAAGTCAAAAAAAGGGCTGTGAAAATATTTACAGACCCCTCACATCCTGGACATAAACTGTTTCAATTCCTACCCTCAAAATGATGCTATAGAGCACTGCACACCAGAACAACTAGACACAAGGACAGTTTTTCCCCTAACACCATCACTCTGCTAAAGAAATAATTCCCTCAACACTGTCCAACTATTTACAAAGTCTGCACTACTATTACTATTAATCTTCTCATCACTCCTTATCACCCATCCCCTCCCACTTGTGACTGTATGACTATAACTTTGTCATTTGTATCCTTATGATTTTTATTGACTGTTTCTTAGTATGATTTGATTGCTTATTGTACCCTATGACTATTATTAAGTGTTGTACCTGATGATTCTTGACGAATGTATCTTTTCTTTTATGTACACTGAGAGCATTTGCACCAAGACAAATTCCTTGTGTGTCCAATCACACTTGGCCAACAAAAAATTCTACTCTACTCTACTCTACTCTACTCTACTCTACTCTACTCTACTCTACTC